AGGAAATTTTTACTTATATTTTTTCTGAAATGGAATACCCAGTACATTAATTTTCAGCACAGATATATTTAATTAATTTAATCTATAGTACAATTGACGCATTTATTGTTATTAACTATCAATTTTGATTTATATATTATACCATTCAATATTATTTCACTAACCAGAAAGAGTAGATTATTTTCTTAAAAATGAAAATGGCCCCTTTTTTTGGCTACCAGCACAATTTTTACGTAGCCCAACGAAATTTTTTTCGGAAGCTCGACATTTCAATTCGGGGCTGTATGAGTATGAGCAGAGTGTAGTAATACGTGGTTATCCCACAAAATRTTGGTCTCYWACTTAAATCATCAAAACTATAAATACTAATTTCTCATAAGCTACTCGACCTAAGSTTTAATTTCAGTAACAAAATGGTTATTAAATCTTATACAGAAAGTTTCTTAGGTACTAAGTTCAAAACTTGGTGTATTTGTGAAATGTAGTTCTTGATAATACTTTTTTCAGATTTTAATAATAGAATCAAATTCCTAAAGTTCASTTAAAATAAAATAAAAAGATAAACAGCATTTTATTTTATTTAAAAATATTGTTTATCTTTTGTATGCTTTCAATTTCAATATGAAATATTTTTTTTTGTCAATATGTTTTTAGAATTTTTTTTCATTACGGCCATATAATAACTACAAAAAGTCTAYGTGGAAACTTATTTTGTCGAATACGAGAAGAAAATTAGTCAAAACGAATCTAAAATAATAATTTAAATAGATTAACTATGTATAAAACACTTCCGAATCCAAATAATAGTTATAAAAATGGTTTTAAGGACTTTAATTTTAATTATTCAAGGATGATATCATGATAWAATATGTATGTTAAATTAGAGGTGGGTCAAACTCAAAAATATGATCTGAGCTGAACTCAATATCGACTTCAAAGTTTAATACTACCTATACTAAACACAACACGAGCTTTTGAATTAAATTACGAACCAATCTTTTTAATTTAATGTCAAACCAAAGTATAACATTTTCTTTTTGTTTGGATTCTTTTGACGTGTTCGACATTTCAAACTTTTTGTTCGAGTTCGATTCGATTCGGGATTTTTAAAAACTATAGGTTTGGCATTCGAACTTAAACCGAATACCTAAAGTTCAGTTCGATTTTTCAAACTTCAACTCGTCCTAAGTAATTAAAGTTCATAAACTATTTAAAATTAATTGCCGACACTCACCGATGTTACAAACATAACGCAACACGAATTTGTTAAAGTCCACCACCTTTACAATTTCTTTTATGGTGCCATAAACTGCCAGATCCTGGAGTTCTAATATCGAAGGTTTCTGTTTGTTGTGAATCATATACTGAAAAAGAACAAAAAAATTAAAGAATAWAGTGCCATGCTATTCAATATTTTTCCTCTGCAAGGAAAATTGAGGAATAATAGAAATAAGATATGTTTTTGGATATTGTTATAGTGCAGTATGATTGTTAATAAAAATTATAAAAAAAATTTGATTTCGTGGAATCATTCAGAAAAATGGTATCCAGCCCAAAAATATACTTATGTCAAAAATATTGGTATAACAGTATTATGGATCGAAATACTATTTCCAAAAAAAAATCTACAGAAAAAAATTAATATTTTTTTTTAACTTCATAACTATTCATTAGCTGTTTAATGAATTTAATGCAAATATCGTTTTGCAAAACATAGAACATACATTTTGGTATCAAAAATATACTTTCTGATAAAAATGATAAACCAAAAATAATTATTATCTCGATAATTGAAAATTAATCTTGATAGATTTCTAAGGAAAAATCTTGTTACTATCATTTTTTATCTCCATCCGATTTAATCTCGTTATTAAAGGATTAAATAATTTTYTGAATGAATTCTAAAATTTGTATCGATTTAAATACAATTTTTAAAGTATTTCATACGAGACTATTAAGTTATTAATTTCTATTTCAAGTTAAAGGTACAAGACTAATTGAAATTCCTCAATGGCGCGGGATTTAATGCTAAGGACCAATTAAATGTTGTTCTGCTTTCTGCTGCCACCCTGTTGCAATGTAGGTAAAAATATTTTTTTACAGAATAGTATTTTTAGATCATAGATATTATGGAAGCATTAATTTTATACTTACATAGGTACATTTTAACATTTTAACCGAATATACTTTGAGTACTTTGACTACATACCTGGTGAATTAGAACATGAGACGCCGTGTAGGCACGGTACAAACAGTACTGACAGAAGTATTTTGAAAAACTATGATCGTCAAAGATGTGTTTAGTCAATTCGTTTACGTTATTCACACCAAACGACTTGAAGCAATACATGCATGTCATAAACTGGCGTGTTTCTTCCTGGCTTTCTAAAATGATAAAATATGGTTCTAAAAATGTTTAGCTTTCGTGTTAAWTCAATTTGTGTGATTATTATTATTGGTCAATAACCATTAAAAACAGCCAGTATCGTCTTAAAAACAATTATGACACAAGTACAAAAAATGTGAGCAACTGTGTAGGTACCTACAGATTTGCTATAACTCAGGTGTCTATAATGGTAACGTTAGATTTGAATTAAATAAAATCATCGTATACGAAAAACGATACTTATCGTCTACCAGCCTATTATTAATATAAATTATTATGTTATTATTATTATTATAAATACATTTCATAATAATGTTGGATTTAAGGTGATTTACTTTAGGTTTATCAATACAATAATAATTTTAATTATTTTATATGATAATATACTTTAAAAGACTTAAATATCCACCAAAAATATTTTTAAATTGCAGCAAAATAATTAAAATCATTATTTTTTGTATAAATATCTAATTTCGTAATTTGGATTTTAAATGCTTGTAAAAAAAAAATCGGTCATATGGATTTTTAGTAATTCTCAACTGCTATTAATACAGCTCATAAAAAAATTTTTAAACGTAGATTTTAATAAGTTATATATTAATAATTACAACAAAAGTAGAAAACTGTTATACTAAATTTTGTTAATTTATTGGTGAATATCCAATGTTTAATTTCAAACGCTCGTAGAAAATATATTTGTCTCACTGCAATCTCTTATTTGTTAAATGCAGGAAAATCTATGGTGAATTTTTTATTAAATTTCAAATTTTAGATATACAAGTACATAGATGAATTTCAAAAATATTAATGAATTTTTAAATCAAAATAATCTGTTAATTTTTCTGATTATGAAGAATTGTTGTCAAAGTTCTAACTTTAGGCAATCACAAATAAGTATTGTAGAATAATACTTAATTTTTTTTTATATCCATTCACAACTCATATGGAACCTTGTGTTGAATGTTCAAGTTTTTGATAAAGTTTTTTCGAAAATAATCAAAAAAAAAAATTTTTTTTTAATATTTTATTTGTTTTCTTTAAGTTTGCGTTTTAAGTAAAACTACTGGACATTTTTTACTTTTGGACCCCAAGGTTTCAACTAGATTCACTCTTCTACTAAAAAAGGATGTCGAGGTAGAAAATTGAAGAATTTTTGCCACCATTTTAAGCTATTTTTCCACGATTATTGATCAAAATGTTTTGTTCTGTCAAAAAGCTTAAAAATGAAATAAAAATAAAATTGTTTACATTGGACTAAAAAAAAAATTACAGTAATTTCGCAAATATTTTACATTTATTTACACTTATATTTTTTTTTAAGTTAAAAAACAAAAAGTTAAACTCTTTCAGTTCCAAAGTCACCTATAATAATAATATTGTAAAAACAGTGTCTCATAGAATAATATAGTATTTTTAAGTTAGTAAATTACGGCAATCATGTAAGTCTTACTTGCATCCTTTCTTGCAATATGACAGTGGACGTTTATGTGGTACAAGAAGAATTTCCATTGACTGAAAACTGCATTGCATTTTTTCCCCGAGCATTTATAAAGGCCGACTTGATCAGCAATGGTCGTCATTTTGTCACTTAGCCATTTAGTCTGTTCATGGTCCGCAATCATGCCTTTTAGGTTTCGGAAATATTCTTTACTGTAACTTGTGTCAACCAACTTATAGGATATACCATCATCGTCGGTACATTCGCCATTGTTGATGATCTGTTTTCCCGGTCCGAGGTGTCCATCGGGTTTCAACTGCACGATATCGCATTGTATTTTAATATCCTCCCACTTACTAAAGAATTCATTTTCTGTGCTTGGGTTACACGTACTAAGGTTATTGGTTTCATTATCCTCAACGTCTGACTAAATCCGTGAGCAAAAAAACACCAACATTTAAAATGCATGTTTTCAAAATATAAGTTTCTGATCTGCATCAGCTCAATAATATTATTTACCTCTGATGAATTTGAAGTATCGACAGCCGATGGACTTAAATTTGGGCTATTTCCAATTTGGTAAGCTTGAAATATCTTTGCTGGTTCTGTTAAGTAATTTTACACTTATATAGATGAGCTTTAGAAGGTTAATGTTCTAAAAATGGCGCTAACATAAAAGTGGATATTTTACATCTAAAAATATTGCTATTCTAATATCAATTCAAAAATCAATATAATAATCAAATAATTATTAYAAATGTGAAATTTACAAACTATGTAAATAAAAAACTAAAATTAAATACCAAGTTAAAGTATTGTGTGTTATCTAAAAGTTTTTTCTAATTTAATATTAAAATATAAAATACTAGTAAACCTACAAAAATTGTAATATTATCCACCAGTGGCGTGACGAAGGGGTAATCGAGAGGTTTTAAATGACATTTAGTGTTATGTTAATTAATCTTATAATATGGTTCTAAAATTGCCTAAGAGAGGAAATTTTCCCATGTAATGATTTTTTATAAGACACTGTTAAGAGACTGATATAAGCCCTGTGTACATTGTTCAAAATAGGTACTCGTAGGTGGATGGGTAGTCATAAAAATATATATTTGCCTCTGAAAATTCTTTAGWTCACCATACCACTGTATGTTGCCCACAATACGTGTACAATTAAACTTACCAAATCCATTATCAAGCGTAATTTTTATGTTATTGTCTGTTATGGATTTCAACAAGGGTAGATCTGTGACTTTAGAAACTAAATGGTTATGTTTGTTTTTAAATCTCACAACTGCTGGTAAACCATTCTAAAAAAACGTAATATACGAAAATCATTTAGTTAAAGTAAACATGATTAACGTTTTCAAGAGAGTTAATAAAATAAAAYAAATATATTCACTTTCAAAAAAGAATCGCATTTTTTTCCTCTTATAGTCGAGCATTTGATTTTTATGTCAATCTCTGATTGACACCCAAATTTGTTTATTTTAAAATTTTTATCTTGTTTTTTTAAAAGTTTAAACAAACCATTATGAAGACATCCAAAGATCTTGCTATAGTAATTGCGTTTGAAATAGAATATGCATATTATTATAATTGTTAATAAAATGTCACTATTTTCTAATTATTTCACTAAACAATTATTGACGTTCAGATTCATTTTTACACTGCGAAAATATGTATTAACAATTAATGCGATACTTACCAAACGTCATATTTTCTGGATTTAAAGGATTTTAAAACGCGCCAACTTGTTTGTGTTCGTTGTGAATATAATTGGATGAAGTTGAAAATATCATCTTCAGTGTGTAGATTAACACGAAATACACTGTGTTTAATTTTGATTATATTATAAAAATAATCCATCTCAAAATGTTCACCTTAGGAAAATAATATAAATTCCATATTATGTAATTATCTAGTCACAATTCATATTAATTATAGTTATCTGTGACATGTATACAATTTTTTTTAATATTATGGCATATAATTGCAGCATTCAAATAAAAATAAGTAACATTATTAAAATGTTCAAGGAATTATATTAGTATTACCTGATTATAAGAAATTTCCACTCATTTTAAATTATTAAATATTATACCAGATAATTTATCTGAATTTAATACAACACCTGCGCACATATTATTATGTAGATTTTCTGTCACTACTTATAATAATTGATACCTAGATKTAACTATGAAATAAACAATAATATAAGAGGGGTTTATCAATGAAACATCGTATTTAAAAAAAAATGGTACATTTGCCTAATTATAATAATAATAATCAATAAACAGGTATTGATTTGGGTGTGCAGGATTGTGGCCATAATCGAAATTTTTTTAAATACGATGATTGAGCCACTAAAATTTTAAATTTTTTTACAAAAGGTGCACCACTCACTGCGGTGATTGCAGGGTCACTATCTTAAACGATTTTTATTATTTAATCTGATAAGCAGAAGTTTAGGTTAAAATTAGATACGTAGGAATATTAAAAACCAGGAAACTAACTTCAATAAAAAATAGAAAAACGAAAAAATGAGGGAAACCCAGGTTTTTGATTTCTGAATATCTGTATCTCACTATATTAATATCAAATTAATTAAGGATAACTATACTAATATTATGCTACTAGGGAAGGAACTTTTCGCAAAAATTATATTTTTTTGGTCATTTATTGATTAAGCATAATATACTTAAATTATATGTATATCGTGGTAACAAAAAATCGTTAAAACGCTCAATGAAGATCATTTCAATGTTCGTTTTTATATTTTRTTTTTATTTTMAACTCACCGACATTTTGCACGTCAGTGGGTGGTTTGTCAGCGGACAAAATGTCGTCATCGGTCAAACACTCAACATTCGGCAATTGGCCGTCATCGTCRATAAATTCGCTTATTTTAGTGTCCTGATTTTCTACAGAATGGACATTTTTGTCGTTGTTTAAACCTTCGAAATATTTTTAAAACAATAAAGTATGTATGATTGGTTAATTTTTAAATAACTAAACACCATAACATGTTGGATACCTTTATTCAATTCACTTGCGTTACATGTTTCAGAATCTTCATTCAAAATGTAGTTCATAAATAAAGTATCCACAGATTCTTCTGTGTCCGTTCCATTATTTGAAAAAACAAAGCCATTATATTTTAATGAATACTATTAAGAAACTAGTTCATTATAAGGTGATCATAGTATTTTTTTTTAAATAAATGTTAAGATAATTTCCATATAATTTCTAAATTAATATTTACTACACTCAGTTATTTACATAAATTTTTTATTGTTGTAAAACCTATACACAGCAGATATTATAAATAAATAATAAAAAAAAAGAACATAAAGCAACACGGAGCTTTATATTATATTGTATGTACTTAGTAGATTCCACCCATAGATTAAAGATCTTATTAAATAATCGTTTTGATTTATATTTTATTTATTTATTGCTGTTGTTGTCATGTATAAGAAATAATTGGATAAGAAAAATTACGAAATTCTATTAAAATAAAATAAAATAAAAATCATGTCAATAAGTATATTTTTTTACATTGACAACACTGCATGAGCTTGCACATTTATTTTTAATTAACTCAGAGACAATCATTATTCCGTAAAAGACTCTAGTGGTTTTAATATCACGAGACTATTGGACCATAAAACTCAATGKAAAGTTCTGCTATGGATCAAAAAAAAAAAATAATTATAATTATAACCATCTAGTTTATGCATTGGAGTTACTTAATATGAATCAATAAAAATATATAAATAATTCTATTATATAATTAAACATAGAAATGCATAAAACGAACATATCACGCTGATGAAATAGATATAGCCTCATAGGTAGGTAATTCTAATAATTGTATAGGTACTTAAAAATTATAGGAAAAGTGTTGGTCGAGTAAAACAAAAATAACTATTCAAGGAAAAAGCATTAGTTGATTTATTCATTACAGTATGAATAAGCAACTTATATTTTTTTACATGTAAGCTTCTTAACTCACCGTCTGATTTCCTGTCACCAATAAAGGAATCTCTCGGGGATTGGCTATCATCCTCAAATGGTGCATTTAATATTGTTTCATCTGAGCCAATGTCAATAATTAAACGATGTTTGTCATCTAGATCTTCGAATTGTTCTAAAATATTTAATCATGATTAGTTAAATAATTGTTATTGACGATATTGATATTTTAGTATTACACACCCATTTTTGGTAAGCTCAAATTGTAATTGAATTCACTTGCATCACTTGATCTAGAATATTCATTTACAACTTCTTCTGAAAATTTAATAAATGATACTTCTTTTTTTACATCCAATATGGAGTTATATCCACGACCCAATAAAAAAATTCATATTTAAATGAATACGTATTTAATTGTTCATCAATATCACTAATATTTTTGAATTTTCAATGTCAATACTCTTTTAAAATATTATGCAATTAACATTCAAAATAATTTATTATCTAACAAACAACATTATTAAATTATAAATGATCCCGTCTAGGTATCAACAATTTCAGCTTAGAGATTTATCTAGATAAATAATACTTATGGATTACGTTACCTAGATAATGATTATACAAATATAAGTTAATAAAAAATAGCTACATTTCATTTTATTTTCAAAAAGCAAAAATGTTAAGTACCTAAAGCATACAACTATAAACCTCAAAATAGGTATGCATAATGTTATACGTATTAAACAATCAATAGTTATTTAAAATCTAACTTAGTACAATACTAATAGCCTACCAACTGAATATCAATTTTAATAAGTCTATTCTATAAATAATTATTTACTAATTCATTTTAAATAATATAATAATTGTATAAACGTATTTACGCTATTTGTGTTTAATAACTCTAAGTGTAATAAAGTTGCATTCATTTGTTTTAAACATGCGTAATTATTTCACCTTAATTAATAATTATACTTACTCAGTTGTATTAGTTAATTTTAACTAACCAAAGCTAGTGTTATCAATTTATTGTGGTAAGGGCCTAATGGATTATTRTAGACAATCATAAGAGTATTATAATGAAGTGGTAGCGATCCGATTGTCAGAGGAAGCGGATCCCTCTTCTGTAATTAATGTCTAATTTAAAATAAAAAGAAGTATTTAATTATAGTTCCAAATTTCTTCTATAACAATAGGTACCTACGTATACGATTCTGAAAAAATGAATACACTATAATGGTATACCTAACGTCACGAGATTATAATTTTATAACTAAAAAGAATTTAAATAAAAATAAAACAATCGATGTTGTAATATAAACTAATAGATAAAAGTTACAAATAATAATAGAAGTCATAAAGATATGATAAAATTTAAAGACGATTATTCTGGTGTATGAATTATAAAATATGAAAGTTTAATTAAGACTATTGAAATTAAAGTAAAGAGTAAGACTGTTATTTRTRGAATTAAATTGAGTTTATGTTGGAAGGCCGACGATTGAACTAATATTCTGTATGATTCAGAATGCGGAGAATTACACTTTATAGTATTAGTAGATTTTGAGAAAGCGTTTGATAGAATTATGAGAACAGTATTATAGTTGGTGTTAACGTTAAGTATATTTAGAAGAARCAAAATTTAGAATAGTTGTAGATTTTCGAGCACTAAATAAAATAACAATAAACGAGTATAACCCACTAGGTACCTAACATAACCGAAATATTAGACCATTTAGGACAATGTAATTAATTTAGCATACTAGATCTTGCATCCGGGTTCTATCAAATAAAACTCGATGAAACAAGTAAGGAGTATACTGCCTTTTCGACAAATCAAAGTCATTATAAATTCAAAAAGATGGCTATGGGTTTAAAAACATCGCCTTCTAAATTTCAACGACTAATGAATAACGTAATGGCTGGAATCATAGGTATTAAATATTTRGTTTATTTAGACGATATAATAATATACGGGAAAAATTTAGTTGACCATAATAGTAAGTTACGTGACGTATTTGAACGATTACGAAAACTTAAAAATACAACCGGACAAATGTGAATTTCTAAAACAAGAATGCTTATACATAGGACACATCATTAATGAAAACGGTATAAAACCCGATCCAAATAAAATTAAATCAGTACGAGAATTCCCAATACCAACGAATGTAAAAGAAGATCATTTCTGAGATTTTCCGGATACTACAGAAAATTTATAAAATCTTATAGTTTAATAGCAAAGCCAATAACAAATTTATTAAAAAAGGGAGTTCAATTCACCTGGGAACCAAAATGTCAGGAAGCTTTCGATAAATTAAAAGATATTCTTTGTTCTGAACCAATATTACAATATCCAGATTTTACTAAACCATTTATAGTCACTACTGACGCAAGTGGAAAAGCTTTAGGTGCAATACTATCACAAGGGGAAGTGCCACAAGATTTGCCTACTGCATATGCATCTAGAACTTTAAATAAAAGTGAACATAATTATAGCACAACCAAACTTGAGTGTTTAGCTATTATATTTGCAGTAAAAATATTTAGACCATATTTATACGGTAGGAAATTCATTATATTAAGCGATCATCGCGCACTTTCATGRCTRTTTAACTTAAAATACCCACTATCAAAGCTCGCACGATGGCGAATAMGATTACGAAATTAAATATAAACCCGGAGTTCAAAATGCAAACGTAGATGCGTTATCGAGAATGTATACTATTGATGAAATAAAAAGCGAAAGTTATCCAGTATTTTTAAATAAATTCGAGACACAGCTAATAACAAATAAAAATATACAGRAAGTACAWGGTAGTCTAATAGAAGTACCTGCTGAATATCATAAAATAGATWTTCGAAGTACCTATTCATTAAGTAAACATATTTTTCAAAGCAAGAAAAGACTTAGTTGAAAWACATATAATTTTTTGTGATAAAAAAAGAATATAATATAATAGATACTCGTATAACTTTTCAAATAATATATAATATAATGTATGTTAATGAAAAATATTTAAAAAACTGTTAATATACATTGGTATCTTCATGGAAGAATACTTAATCTATTTAAATAACATAAGACATATAATTAACAATTAAGGTTCTCCGATTAGCGTCACCCTATTCCTAACTGYKATTAATGACGTTACCAAAATAATAAAACTACCCACACACATAAACATATTTGCCGATGACAATAATATGCACCGCAAAGGGAATAATAAATCCATTCTAGAAAACATTCAAACGAGCTTAGATATCATAAACGATTGGGGCAAAACTAATGATTTTAACTTTGCTCCCAGTTAATCAAAATGTATAGTTTTTCAAAGAAAACCAAAAAAGCTCCCAAACTTGAAATAAAACTTCACAATATAATCATRCCCATAATCAAGAATGTCAAAATCYTTGGAATGACCTTTGATAAAAACCTGAACAGGAAAAAACATATTTYCATGCTTAAGACCAATGCTTGACAACTAACATCATTAAAATATTAGCAAACAACAAATGGGGAGCATAAAAAGAAATATTTCTTAATGTATATAAAGCACTCATTAGATCTAAAGTAGATTACGGTTCCATCATGTACGGCAATGCCAAAATTTCTATGTTGGCCAAACTTGAAACAATCTAAAACACAAACCTACGACTAATACCAGGTGCATTTAAATAATATTCTTTTAATTAGTGATTGATTTTTAARCGTCTTTACTATTCTTCATGATTTAATGTTTTAAATGTAATGTGTCTTTGTTTAATTATATTTTTATTTGTTTATCCGAAACTTGGTTAAGTAACAGTTTTTTCGATAATGAATTAGGTTTAATTAATTATACTGTATTCAGATGTAATCGTAATAGTGATACTAGCAATTGTTATAGAGGTKGCGGTGCTCTCATTGCCATTCGTAACGATGTTCTTTGTGAGTTATTACCTACCACAGTCTATAATGTTGAGCATTTATTTGTAAGATTCTATGTAYAAAATGTCACCTTTGTTGTCTGTTCCRTCTATATCCCTCTTAATAGCCCGGTTCTCGTCTATGAGCCATTTATGTCAGCTGTCCAAGCTACTATCTCTCTCAATCCMGGTTGTGTATTCATAATCTGTGGTGACTTCAACCTTCCAGATACCTCATGGTCAAACGATTATGGTMTAATCTATTGTTCATCTTCAGGCCYTAGAGAGCAATGTGTTCGCGAAATATTTGCTTTCAATAATTTTTTCCAGCTCAATGGGGTTTCGAATCATTTTGGGGGAATCCTTGATCTGGTGTTTTCCAACAACTGCAGTGTTTTAGTAGAAAATTCAGAAGTTGTATCTGTTCCTTGTGATCCATATCACCCTGCGCTWGTAATCAATCAAATTTCCCTTTGGCCGGGACCATCCACTTCTTGACAACTCCCATAAATACTTTAATTTCCGTCGTGCATGCTATCCGGACATATGTTCTTTCCTTTTGTCCTTCAACTGGCTTGTAACTATTGTGTCTCTAGATGTGAATCAAGCAACCAATGCATTGTATGATCCTCTGCATTTTTGCGTTTTGAATTTTGTTCCTGAGGTCAGTTATAGTCCTTCTAAATTTCCAATGTGGTTTTCTAAAGACCTCAAATCTATAGTCATTTCTAAAAACCGGGCGCAAGCCAAGTATAAAGTTTCCCGTTGTCCCAGAGATTATAACGAGTTTTCTAATCTCCGGGCACGCTATAAATATGAATACAAAAGGTGCTATAAATCGTTCATAACTCAAACTGAGTGTAAGCTAAAAACCAATCCTCGGTMTTTTTGGGACTTTGTCCGGAAAAATAAATCCAGTGATGGGATTCCATATACAGTTCATTTTGACAAAAAGATTGGTTCTGGCCCTGAATCAGTTTCTAGCCTCTTCTCWTCTTATTTTAGCACCGTTTATGCCACTCCCTCTTCCAGCCAAACTCCTGTTATTTCCTTTTCTCATTTTAACCTACCAAGTAATTGTTTCTTTACCACTAATGATGTCGAACTGAGTTTGTATATGCTAAAACTTCTAAGTCGGGTCGTCCTGATGGTCTGCCTGGGACGTTTCTATATAACATAAGATCCGTTCTCTGCTTTCCTTTATAGTTGAAATTTCGTCGCTCCCTTGGCACGGGAACCTTCCCATCTATGTTCAAGATTAGCTCAGTCACGCCTGTATTTAAGACTGGTGATAAAACTGATGTTAACAATTATAGGCCTATTACTATCCAAAATCATATTGCCAAAATCTTTGARCTGCTTGTTCTGAGTATACAGCCTTAAGTGAATTCTATCTTAGTTGATGAACAATACGGTTTTAGACCTAGCCGTTCTGCTATTACGAATCTRATAGTTTTTCATAATTTYATATTGGAGGCCGTTGAAAACCGAACTCAGGTGGACGTTATTTTTACAGACTTCTCCAAAGCGTTCGATCGTGTAGACCATAAAATACTAATTAAAGTTCTATATAAAGCTGGATTTGGGGAGCCCATTCTTTCTTGGTTCAAATCTTATTTATCTGATAGGGTCCAATATGTAAAAGTCTTAGGTTGTAAATCTGTAGCAGTCTGTGTACTTTCAGGTGTACCTCAAGGGGGGCACTTATCCCACTTGTTGTCTTCTCTATTGGTTAATGGTCTAAAACAGGTTATCCCTGATTCTATGTTCCTTATGTTTGCTGACGATTTGAAAATCTTCCGGATAATTGAGTCAGTAACTGATTG